TGGACATCTGGACATCTGGACATCTGGACATTGGGAGGTAGGGAGGGCTTCCCATTTCCCAGGCAGTCTGGTAAGCTACTGGGAACAGAAGGGACTATTCTTGGATCTTTGGGTTTAGTGCTCATTTTCATAGCTCTGGTCCTTTTACGAAGGGGGGAAAATCAGCACCAAAGGTACGCAGTGGAACAGGAGAGGGCCCAGGGCATTATTATACTCTGCGTTTAAAACTAACATCCCCACGAATGAGGGTCTGACCGATAGACCTGTAGCTCAGAGTGTGAGGTGGGGAATGAGTTCTCTCTCCTAAAATCCTTGTCTTTTAATCAACATAGAACATATTTCAAATACAGAGAGGAGCTTCTGTTCAAAAACCTTTTAATCAACATAGAAAATGTTTCCAATACAGAGAGGAGCTTCTGTTCAAAACATTTTTTTTTTCTGAAGAGTTTTATGATATCACAATATTGATAATTGCCAAATACTCAAAAAATACTACAAACAGAGGCTGGACAGTGGTGCAGCAGTGAAACAGGACACTCTCGGAGGCTGACCCACAAGGAAAGGTTCCAGGTTCTTGTCTGGAGACCTCCCTGGGAATGCCAGCTATGCAATTGCCCATGATCTGAGGCTGGCTGAGGCGGGGGGGTGGATGGTGGCATCAGGGTTCTGTTGGAGGTGCTCTCTCTGTCTCTGTTGCTTAGGGAAGAAGCAAATAAAAATAAAACTTAAAAGATACTAAAAATAATCCAAAGTACTCCCCTGTGCTTCCCTTGTGTAGCTCTTGGACTGCATCTTCATCTACTCCGGTCCTCCCTACCTCCGTGCAACCACACAGGGCCCCTACTCTTCCTCCCGCAGGCCACACTCGTGCTCATTTGGGTTGTTTCTATTTGCTGTTACCCTTCTGGAAGCCACCTTCCTAGGGATGGGAATGATCTGCCCTCCTCTCCTCTCCAGGATGCAGGTCTCTTTCTACCCTGCTCTTCCTTGGGAAGACTCCCTGCCTCTCATTCATTTGAAGTCACTTTCCCTTCCACTTGATCCTATTATTTTACCTTATTTCCTCCATAACAATATAGCATTGCTATTGTTGTATCGGTTATCTTTTTTTTTTTTTTTTTTTAAATTTATTATTGTCTCTCTTCCCATTAGAAGGTCAAGTCCAGGAGAGCAGGAGTTTTGTTTGTTCACAGCCATGGACCCAGAGCCTAGAATAGAATGGGAACATAGTAGGTCTACAGTGGTATTCGTAGGATGAGCGTTTGTCTGCTCTTCATTAAAGCACCAGTCCAGACTTGCCCCCTTCTTGAACCTTTGGTTTTCGCCCCAGCGTCAGTTCATCTTTGGTGGCCTCATTTTGCATGCTTGCATCCAACAGGTGGTTTGTGAAGCCTCTGGGTGTGCACTTTTACGCTAGGCCGGGCTAGATCCAGAAAGACAACAAAGCCCCTGCTTCGTGGGGCTGACTTTGTTGCAGGAGAAAATGAATGTGGAACATGCTACGGGTTCTCTAACTCTCAGATTTCCTTCTACCTCATCCTATAGTCACTTCGGTCATTCGATGAAAAGCGCTCTTCGAGAAGACTTAGCTTGGCGCTAGGGAATCTGTGCGGTGACAGAGGTGGAGGGTCAGCTGGTGGGCCGACGTGGCAGAGCGAGAAGGAAAGAGAAATCAGAGATGGCGTCATTGAGGAAATGCAGGAAATAGGACCAGCAGTTAGCGCAATGGCTATGTCGCTGGACTCACATGTAGTCGACCGCGGTTCAAGTCTCGGACCCAGTGACTTAAACTCACGCCAGGCACGTGTGTGTGCGTGCCCAAGATCCCAAGGGGAGAAAGGAGGAGAAGAGATTGCGGCGTGGCCATCCCCCCTGGGGGTGATTTCTCGCTTTTTGTCTCCCTCTTTCTGTCTCTCTCTGGCTTTCTGGCGAATGCATGTGCCCTATAGCAAAAATCTCTCCAAAAAAAAAATATAGAAAAGAAAAAGAAATGCAAGACATAGAAGGATAATTAGTTCATCAGAAGGAGGACCAGGGAAAAGTCACCTGGACAGAGGGAAGAGTCTACGCAGGTGTGTAGAGGCCAAACGACCGTTATTGATAAGAATGTGCTGTTTGGGATTCCCTAAAATCGACAGGCCTTTCTAGGTGATGACTCAGCTTTCTGTGTCCCAGTGCTATGCAATCCACCCCGACCCAACCCCAGCCAGTCCAGTCCTGGAGTATCTCTTGAGAGCTGGCCGAGGGCCAAACATCAGGAGGCTGCAGAGACACCCAGAGCTCAAGCCTTGCCTTTCAGGAGCTCTGTGTCTGGTCAGAAAGGCTGGCGCTTAGAAGGAAGCAAGAGGGACTGACCTAGCTTATGTTTAAGGCATCACAAGCGAGTTCACATACTTAGGGATTTGTGCTCAATTCACTTGGTAAGGAAAAGCAGCAAACCTCGCTAGAGGGTGACCAGGCCATTCACTCACCTAGCAGGGAGGCATGGAGCACCACATGCCTGGTGCCTTCCAGGAGTTTGGGAGAGAGAACTGGAAAGGGTGGATGGATGCTCTCACGAGGCTTACTCTGGAAATTCACCCTGAATACAACTGAACAGATACCTAAGACCCTCAGATGGTGACAGCATGGCAGAGAAAATACAACAGCAGAGGGCGGGGCTCCCTCAGATGTAGTGTCCAGGGAGAGGGCCCCCGTGGCCCTGGCCAGTCAAGACCTGAATGTAAGGAAAAGGTGGGTGTTTGAGGGTCCAGACAGAGGAGAAAACAGATGCAGAGCTGGGAGGTGGGGACAGCCGTGTGGTTATGTTTCAGGGAAGACCAGGGCCAGTGTGGCTAGATGGGGACCTCATAGATCCTGGGGAGGGCACTGGTAATTATAATCCAGGATGCCATGGGCCCAAGTCCTTATTTTCGACTCACTACTTGAAGGGGGCCTATCCTTTCTCCATCTGGAAACTTCTGATGTGCAGGAAGCTCTAAGGACATTTAACTTCTCTTAGACCATTGACACCCTTCAGATTACTCTATTCCCGCCCCTGTGGGCTCTTCTCTTTCCCACTCTTGAATCTCCTCATTCTACTCCCTGACAGTGAGGATTCGCCCCTGCTGATGCCGAGTCCCCTGAGCCATCCAATTTCCTGTGCATTATTAAATTTATTAAAACAGAAAATCCAGGTGCAGTTGCTATCTTTTTTTTGTTGATCCGTGCAGAAAAGGAACAGGCAAAGAGAAGAAAAATAGTCGCGTGACGTCCGATCGTATCAGCCCAGCACAGGGAAACAAAGGGTGAGGCGGTTTTCTGGTGTGATATTTCATTCACACGCTCGGAGCAATGACACTTGGAAACAATGAGACCAGCTGCGGCTCTCCTTTCTGGAGGGCTCATGGAGTCTGCCTGGCCCTGAGGAGTCAGGGGAAGAACTGTTTATGTGTGGGCATTTGTTAGGTCAGTACCAGTTATCGAGCGGGCACCTGCTGTGTGCCAGGCCCAGCTCTCAGCACAGCACAGGAGTTGTGCCTTTCGGTCCTCAGAAAACCCTTGCATGGGGTCGTGCTATTAGCACCATCTCACAGGGGGCCAGACGGGTGGACTGAGGTCCAGACTGAGGCAGTGCTTTGCTGCTGATCACTGAGTAAGAGATGGACTCTGGGCTTAACTGAGCACGCAGCCTGGGCCAGGCAGCATGACTGCATCTGAAGAGCCCCGCATTGGCAGAGTAGAGCGGGTGAGCTCGTGCTGGAATTGCAGACATCGGGAGTCCCTGCTACCACGGGCCCATCTCATAGCCCAGGAGCTGTAGTGCCGGCGCCCACAGTTCTCAGACAGCAGCCTCACAGGTACTCTTCACACGGCTCTCCCTGGGGGTTAACACTTGTCTACTGAGTGTTGTTTATTTGCTGTTTCCTTGGAGTCAGTGGGTGGGGCGTGTGTATGTATGGTTGTGTGAGTGTGTGTGTATGTGTGTATGTGTGGGGGGTATAGGGGTTCCACAAGGGGCTCTGCAGTCAGCAGGGCTGAGGTTTAATCCCATCTCAGCTACTGACCAACCCACAGCCTTGGGCAAATGACTTGACCTCTGGGTGTTCTGCGTCCTTTTCTGTATCCTGGTGACAAGTAGCCCCCACCTCAGAGGGCTGATGTGAAGCTTAGACTAAGGGGTCTGTGGGGAGCTCTTAGAAGGCGCCTGGCTGTGGTCGGTGCTGGAAAAATGTTATCATGGCCCATCTTTCACCACGTGTCCACTGTGTGGGCAGCTCTGTGTGGGGCATGGGATGAATGAGCCCCTCATCCCGACCCCTTGCCGTTTCCACCATGTGGGGAGGGCAGGAGCATCCTGACTCCACTGCGACAGAGCAAGTGACCTGGGCAGGTGCCCTACCTCCCTGTGCCCCTGCTTCCTTCTCCAGAAAGTGGGGACAATAATCACACATACCCAATGGGACTGCTGGGAGGACAGCCAGGCTGCAGACCAGCTCGTGTCCTGTCACTGCCTGTCTGGTCTCTGTGCCCTTTCTGGCCATGTGGCCGATTTCTGTGTGCTCCCACTTGTTGGTTTTGCTGTTGCCTCCCCTGGGTCTGCATTTGGCAACTTCTTGTTCACAAGTTGTCCCCCAGTGAAGCCCCAGTCATGTCATCTGATGGCGCTCTTTGCCTACTGCAGGCCACTCTGCATTTCTGCCATCAGCAGATTACAGTAGGGGTCCAAGCCAGCTCATTGCCTGTTTTTGTAAATAAAGTTTTATTGAAACAGCAAGGTAGATATGTTTGCTGCTTTCTCTCTGCAAGGGCTCGAGTGAGTAGTGACAACAGAGACCATGTAGCCCAGACAGCTTACAACATTCACTATCTGGGTCTTCATGGGAAAGGCTTTTGGCCCCTGCTCTATTTTTTTATCCCCTTATTTCTTCTTAAAAATTATATAAAACATGTATACACAGTAAAGAGAGAGAGAGAGAAGGAGAGGGAGAGGGAGAGAGAGAAAGAGAGAGCGAGAGCGAGAGCTAGCTCTAACTGGGTCTTGTCATGCTGTGATCCCCCAGTTCCTCAGCTCCCCAAGTGTCTGGACGCCCACAACACACACGCACATGCACCTGGTGTGCCCTGAGGCTGACCTGGAGGTCTGACCCTGTGGTCAGCCATATGGCTTCTGACCCTGCAGGGCACTCGTGTCACCCCTGCACCATGGTGGCCTGGCCTCTGCTTGGTTTCTATTGGCCCTGCATTGGGTGCCCAGAAACAGACACTGGGAGGGGGACTTGAGAGTAAGGAGTTTATCTGGGACGTGATTCCAGGAAACCTGATGAGGTGTGGGGCAGTGAGTCAGGGCAGGTCTGCTGTTTAGCAGCTCCTCTGTACCCATCTGCCACCGGCAGAGGGCTGCGTCTGGGGTGTTGGTTCCCAGAGCTTCTCCTGGGCCAAGAGAAGCCCTCAGGTGGGGTCTGGGGCCATGATCAGCTCCCTGCAGGCAAGGAGCAGCCTTGTGTGCAGAGCGTGGGCGGCACCAGCAGCTCTGGCAGCATCAGTGCGGGACCACTTCCCAAGGCTTTGCAAATTGCTCGCTTGTCCATGCCTGTCTCTCCACCGGCTCAGGCTTCATCGCTGTAGACCTTCCTGGAGGGTGGACACTGAAGAATGCCCACTAAGGGGGTCAGTGGCACTTGTCTTTCTTGCCTGGATCTTCTGCTGTCACGAGACACCAGGAGTCCATCTCTTTTTCTGTCCCTTTCCAATAAAACACAGAAGCCTTGCTTGGGGTAACAGAAGGAGCCAGGGCACTGAGCAAGATTCCCAGACAGTAAGATCTGGCATGAGATTTGCTCTTCATGGGCTGCGTGACTTTGGGCAGAAGCTCTTTAAAGCCGAAGGGCCCTTATGTAAATCAGAGTCTTCAACGCTTCCATTTCCCAAAGAAACTGGGGTCAGAAATGTGACCTCTTTCAAATCGTGCAGTTCCCCAGGAATTTTACACAGGGACGAGTTGGGGCCTGTTTGGCCTCTAAGACTCACCTTCTCTTGAAGTGATCTCTGCTTGTAGCCACAGTGTCTCAGTGAAGCTTCAGTGTCCCCTGAGTTGTGGGAGGACAGGAGGTCATCTGCCCCTTATCTCACCCAACACCCAATACCCACCACCTAGTACTCACTCAGTCTCGTCGAGGCAGCCAGAGGGGTGGCTTAATGCACCAAACTCACACAGCACTCTGCTGTCCAAACGCTTTTATGGCTTCCCCTGTCCTAAAAATAAAGACAGCAATTCCCAGATGTGCCGTCTGGGCCATGGCGCAGTGTCCTAGATTGTAGGCTGCGGAGACCTGCAGTAATAGTGGCCCAAATAACGTAGGTGAGACAGGGAAAAGGCCCTGCGGTTGGCCCAGTAATCAGGACGGAGTGCCAGGAGGCTCACAGATAGGCAGCCCGGAGCCACAACTTACGAACTTGTCGGAAGCTGGATTTTACTCTGTGTTGCGGGGAGAAGCCATAGGAGGACTCTGAGCAGGAGTAGCATAGTCTTACTGATTTAGAAAAGGCGTGCTCATCTTAGTCTGCTCATTATAATTGTTTTACTCACTATTTGGTTACCATATTTCCTCCCCTGCCCCATTCCAAATGAACTGTTCAAGATGGTAAGAATTATGTCTCTCTCTCTCTCTCTGTGTGTGTGTGTGTGTGAGTGTGTGTATGTATATACTAGTATTTTTGGTATGGGACATGTACATTTTCAGGAGATAGACTGAGGCAGAGAGAAGGAAAGTGAAAATCACCCTCAGGGGGATGGCCCCCCAGCATCCCTTCTCCTCCATTCTCCTCTTAGGATTTTGGACACAGACACACACACACACACACACACACACACACACGTTCAGCGTATTTTTCAAGCCGCCAGGTCTGAGACTCTAACTGTAGAGCTGGCCACGTGGAATTCAGCTGCCTTAACCTTCATGCCACCTTCTGGCCCCAAAACTACGTCTACTTTTTACCAATAGTGTATGACCAGCTCGCACAAGGCTGACACCGACGAATATCATTAGAGGGGAGAAGGGGAGGCACGGGGACATCTGCCCGTTTTCCCTGTCACACGTAAACCCAGGGGGACACCATGTCCCAAGCTGTGTCTGCCTCTGCTATTTAGCACATAAAGCACTCGTAGGCCCAACCGTGTGGCCCGCGCGATTGACTTCGTGCTGAGCAAGAGTACATGGTGATGAGAGCTACTTTGACAGCCATTCAACCATCTCCTCATGGCTTTCAGGAAAAGGCTGCAAAGACCGAGGCCTTTAGGCCCACTGGGCAGGCAGATAACTGGAGGATGATTTATTGCAGCATTCTGGTGTGGCAAGAGCCAGTGACTGAAAGGGAAGGAAGTAACTCTGCCCTGGCCACCTCTGAAAGAGTTTAGCAAGTGTTTGGCTTTTTAGCCATGTAGATGCTCCAAGCTACTTTCCTTATGTCCGCAGACGTTATGCCTTATAAGTGGCTGCCCTTTCCTGCCTGCTCTAATTACTCAGTTGCCTGACCTCCCTTTATGGGGTGAGGTCAAGCGGTTTTGGTTGCATTAAACGCATGCGCTCAAGTTCACAAATCGTGAATTGGCATCTTAGAACTTTAAGGAAGAAGAACCCAGATAAATCATTCCCATTAGTGGGAGGGACTACACCCAATAACAAACTGATGAGGGAGAAGCAGCATATATCAGGGCCCAGTTTGGGTGCTTTGGGTAGTGGGAGGTATGGTGTCGCCACCCAGAGGTACCAGAGGTATCATTTATGAACAGCTGTCCCATGGGATGACTTTTGGAACCAAGCTCCTGGCTATGTAACCTCTAAATCTGACTCTCTGGCCCTGCTGGAAATGTCCTAGTTACCCGCTACGCTTTAGTAAATTCCTTGTCTGCCTAAATTTACTGGACTAGTTCTGTGGTTTGTAACAAACAGCCCTGACTCATACCTGGAGCAGGGTGTGGAGCTGCCCCCAAGTGCCAGAGGGGAAGAGGGTGTATTAGGAGAGTCCCGGGGTGCTCCAGACTTACCTGGGAGCCGGAACCAGTCCGAACAGGCAAACCAGGGCGGGCCATCCGCATCGATCACACCTACTTCCTTTTATTTTGTTTTACAACACATACCTGCTGTGCACTGACTGCCGGGCACTGTGCAGGGTGCTGGGCAAAGTGCTGAGCAAGCCAGGCCACTGCCACAGGGAGCTTCTGTTCTGGCTGGAGAGACTGCAGCGGTCACATGCAAATAAGGAAATACGGCATCTTCCAGCTGGGCTAAGTGCCATGGAGGGTGATGTGGTAGAGAGTGCTCGGCACGGAAGGCTACTTGGTCCAGGGAGGTCAGGGGAGCTTCTCGGGAGGTTAAGCATAGGAGGAGGAGCAGCCAGTCACACCGATTTCTAGGGAGCACGAGAACTGGCTGGGAGAGGCAGTGAGCACAACAGCCTGGCGCAAGAACGGCCTGGGTGCGTCATAGGAGCCCCGCGGACAAGACCGTCAGGCCTCCACCGTCAGGAGGAAGTCTGGTTTTTATTTAAATCCCTGGAGAGACTGAAGCAAGGGCATGATACAATCTGATCTGTGTTTGTAAAAGGTGGTGCAGCAGTAAAGCCGGAGGCTCTATGAGAAATCCCTCCTGGGAAGGTTTATGGTTCAAGTCCAGAGACTCTCAGGGAACGCCAGCATGCATGTGGCCATGATTATTGTTGGCTGAGGGCTGGGAGTGGATTGTGGCATTGAGACCCCACCAGGGTCTATATCTCTTTCTCTTTGTTTCTCTATGTGTGTGTGTCTCAGTCTTTCTCATGGGATACATAAATGAGCAAGTTTGAAAAAAAAAAGAAAACAGATTGTGAGCCTGTGGGGGTGGGGCCGACCTCATAGGTGTGAAATGTAGCTCACTGGGGAGCCTGGGAGAGGCTGGGGTGGTGGGCCAGGCACCCTCTGCTTGGCTTGTACCAAGATTCCAGACCCATGGAAAGAAAGCAGGCGACCAGCACAAATGCCCACACTGTGGCAGGAGGCTGTTTTCCAACCGAGAGACGATAGTGGCTTGAATAAAGGTGAAGGTGGTAGAAAAGAGAGAAAGGAGTGGATTTGAAGACAGAGCTGTCTGGAAGGGCTGATAGATTGGGTGTGGGTGTGAGGGAAAGGGAGGTGTCAGACCTAATCAAATAGACACATATCACTGTCACAGAAAGAACCTGTTATCACCACCGACCATGTCCGGGTCAAGAAGTACCACCTGCCACCTCCTCTGTCACTCAACCATAGACACTTCAACATGGAGAGGATCTTAGGGGACATCTAGGGGAACTGTGAACTTTGACAGTTGAGGAAGATCAAGCCCAGGGAAGGAAAGTGGTTCTCGAAGTCAGAGAGCTCGATTGCAGATGTACGAGTGGAATCTGTGTTCTCTGCTTTTCAAGTAAGTGATCTTTCAATATGTCTTTTTATGGGAAGACTGGAAAAACTCTGAACAAGAGAACGTGAAGGCCGGGAACGATTCTGTTCCTAAGCTGCTGTTTCTCAGTCCCCAACTCAGCCTTTGAAACTCCTCCGTAATGCCAGGGCTGAAACGCCACAAGACATTTCTCTTTTACCGGCTGCCTCTTGCTGGGTGCCATAAAGGATGAGCCACATCCTTTCTTCCCACAGGGCACCAGGCAGACACCTCTGAGGCCTGCGTGAGCTCCAGCCTGTTTGACAGTCCCATCTAGGGAGCCTGCTGGGGCCCAGCATCATCTGGGTGGTGCAAACCCGCCTGGGATTGTCCTTACCAATGTGAGTGTGGCTATCTGGCTCTGGTTTACCAGGGCGGCAGACCTGGGCCTCTGCCAGATTGAGGCCCCTGCCTGGTGAGCGAGTAATTTGTTTCCTCCATAGGAGACAGAGCAACAATCAAGAAACAAACAAACACATTCTTTTAAAAAAGACATAAAGGCTTAGTCATGCAAATCAGGTGGAGGAGAGAGAGAAAGAAAAGGGCCTCACTCATATTCTGCAACTTCAGCAGACCCTGGCCCATCAGCCGAATTCTATTAAGACGCCGGGCCCAGAGCTGCAAACACGGCGCGTTAATGAAGGTCTGTCCCAATGGAGTAAATGCCACCCGTTCCCAGGACACCAAGGAGCAGAAAATTAACCAGAGGGTAACCGGGGCAATAGCCACGGCACAATATGGGTCATTTAGAAGTAGTTTAGTTCCTCCCTCTGGAGGCTGTAGAGTGGTGACTGTTCTCACAGCGGGGACAGTGACTTAGCAGCAGGTCCAGGTCTCTCGGGTACCAGGCTGGGGTGTCATTATGATTCATGGCGCCTCTGACATCAGAGGGCGTTTTTGTGATGCAGAGTTACATGTTGGCTAAACACATGCACGGGGCCGGTGAACACGTGTGTGGTTGTGCGTGCCCCAGGGTGGGATGCACAGAGGCGCACTGTTTTGATCAGATACTGGGAGTCGTTTTAGTCAGGTAGGGGAGGGCACAAAGATGCGGGAGAGGAAGAGGTTTATTGTCCTCAAAGATCCCTGGAAACAGGAAGCACAGGTACCATGCAGGACCACACAGGAAACACCGGGCAGGAGGCAGACCGGCCGAGAGTCTCACTGTGGTTTCCTAGGAAGGAGTGGGTGGTGGGGCGGAAGCAGGCTTGGGTGGTTCGGGGCTCATGCATGGGGCTGTGCAGAGCAGCCTTGGGATAAATGCCGTGGAAGGACCAAACAGCGTTTCCCTGTCATCTCATTTATCCCAGTAGACGCCCACTGTTCCTGGGGATGTCCTGGGAGTGGGGAGATGGGAGGGGTGGGGACTGGAATCCTCAGAGAGCAGGATCACCCACTTCATGCACTTTCAGGCTGTCGTGTACATTTCACAGAGCGTGTGTTACTTTCAGTTTGTTTTTTAATTATGAAACTTAGGTCTAATTAAACGGCTATGAAAGAGCACACAGAAAAGGATGGCAATGAAAGGAAAGTGAAATTCTCCCTCTCCCTCAGGCCACGTTGGAGTCATCCACGATATCCTAGATATTTGAATAACTTCCGTAGGCTCTGGGGAGAAGGGCTGCCCCTAGCTGGTGGGGGCCTGGCCCTGGGTGGTTAGGGCAGGTGGACAGTGACCCTGAGTGCTAGAGCCCATAAAGGTGGTTGGGGTATGGGCTCTGGATTTGGTTTTCACGTGGAAAGTGCCTTCTAGGTGAGCTGTTTCATGTCTCAAGGAATTGCCTAACCCTGATAGGGGCTGCCCATGGGGGTCGGCAAGGTCTTGAGATGTCAAAGCACTGAACACAAAACATAAAGGACACACAGACATAGACATGACCCTCCACACCCTCCGACTCACACATATGAAGAGCTGGCTTAAAAATGACTTCCAGGGCCAGCCCCATAGCCCAGAGGTTTAGGGGTGTGCATAGAAAGTTGGATCCCACATGGCCAACTACTCTTAGAATCCTGGCTCTGGCAGCTTGATAAACATGCCGGGCACATGTGTGTACATGCTTGAAATCCTGATAGAATGGAGAAATGGTGGAAAAAAGATTGCAGCAGGGCCATGCCCCATCAGGGAGTGCTTTCTCTCTGGTGAGCACATGTGCCCTCGGGCAATGAAGAAGAAACACCTTCCATTCCTAAAGTCATTCCATCCCTCATATCACTTCCCCCAAAGCGCGTCTTATTATTATACAATGGTGTTCTTTAATTGCCAGAACTCTGGAGAGTTTGCTGGGATGAAGTTAAATAAGACCAAGTGCTGTAACTATGCATTATGCACGTGTTTCACCTTTACGTCTTACTTGGAAAGTATAAAACTAAATAGAGAAAAGAAACCTCAGCCAAACAGCCGGTTTCACATGGCTAGAACGAGAAGGAAATAAAAATGGGAGGGAAGCCTTCTCATTCACGTCACCTCTCTGCTTGCACAGGGAAAGCCATTCAGGCTGCTCCCTGGGTGAGCTCTGTCGGCAGGTGTTCACGGCAGCAGTCGTGCTTCCTGCTCCTCATTCTAAGATGCCCCAACCAGATGGTGGAGGCCTGATGGCGAAGGAGCCAGCTTGGCTTGAGCGACCTGGCTTAGTTGGCCCTGGGCTTCCAACTGGGACAGCAGGGACTCCCTCCCACACCCCTACCTCCCTTCTGCTCATGAAGCAGGCCCTTCCTGCTCAGAGTGGAAGCTTCTCAGCCTGGAAACTTGTGAGATGCTTCCAGATATGCAAGCCCTGGGGTTGAGTGGGGGAACTGGGGCAAAACATACCTAATTATGGTATTATCCACTGAAGTTCAACATCTAGGCAACTTCATGAGCTCTGTATAAATGTGGTTTCTCTAAGGGAAATCCTTTGACTTTGCAACGAACAAGGGTGTGTTCAGTAAAATGTCACGCCATATGCACCATGATACATAGACTGTTCTAAGACAGATATCGTTCTGTGTAGGAATAGAGCTTAGTTGGAGCTCCATGGACAAGGGAAAGACCCACCTGGTTTCTGCTTGACCCTGGCAGGGCCATGGTTCCTCTAACAGATGCTTCCCTTAACCAGAATTCTCTGCTCCCAAGTCTGCTGGCTGCTCCCCAGTATCCATTCCCCTTTTTTTTAGAGCCAACAGAATCTCAAAGTTCTAAGTGGGTATGGAGGAATGGAGACGTTTCCCAGCCTCCCTAGGTGTGGCTACGTGACCATGTCTTTCCAGTGGGATGTGCAGTGAGGCATGTGCAACCTCTAGCTCAAGCCCTTAGAGGCGATGTGGCCTGCTCCTCTTTTCCTCCTTTTCCCCAACATCCTGATGGTTGGGAGGAAGCATGGTGCTGAGCCATGAGGGACCAGAGCAGCCCTGCAGGGACTGAGAATGGCCAAGACAGAAGAAGCCTGGAGCTGGACACTGTGGACCAGCCATGGTGAGTCTGGGCTGTTTCTTCTCAGATGATTCCATGAGAGAGAAAGGAGCGGCAGCTGGACAGAATCCTAGATGAGGCAGACAGATGCCTCACCACTATTGATCGGTTCCTGATGTCTCCGAAAGGGCTCTGCGCCCTGCCCAGCATTCGGCACCACTGTGCCACAGTCCTGGTTGATCATTCCAGCACTAGGAGAGAACTCGGGCATTGGAAGATATGAGCATCTACTTGCTCTAGATTTTACTTCTAAGCCACAGATGAAATCTCCTTGCATGACTTCATCGTAATTGCTGAAGACACTCTGTTCTCATGGCTACACCAGGAAATCAGCTACTCAACAGACTGACCTAGATCAGGGACTCCTCCCACTGCCCCCCCTCCTTCCTGCTCACAGAGCTGGCCTTTCCGGCTCAGAGCAGGAGTGTTTTCTACCCTTGGATAGAAGCGCCAAACTGGTACTGGGATCCATTCACAGTGATGTGATCTTGAGGATGAGAACGTCCCCAAAGAAAGGGCCATTTCTCATTCATGTTCCCCGCACACCAGGCTACTGCACTGCACCGTGCAAAGCGGCCTCAGGTCAATGCTGTGGAGACAGAGTAAGGTTTCCCTGTCATCCCGTCCGTCCCGTGGGACACCCACTGTTCCCAGTGACCTCCTGGGCAGGAGGGGAAGGTGGACCTGGAGGCTGGAATCCCAGAGAGCAGGATCACGCACCTCGCTCACTTTTAGACCACTGTGTCTGTGACTGAGAGCGCATTACTTTTAGTTTGCTTTTCACTTACAAAACGGATGTGCAAATGAACGATTATAGAAAGTCACACGGAAAAGCATGGTGATAAATGGAAAGTAAGGCTGCCCCCCTCCCGCAGGCCATCCTGGTGGTCACTGCCGTATCCTAGTGACACCCACACCCCAGTTCTGAGGTCGTCATCTCTAGATTACACGTGTCGGCTCTCGGCTGTGAAAACGAGCATGGTAGGTCCTTCACGCCACTCAGCTTTCTCTCACCATCCTGAGATGTGTTAAGCTCATTTTTGTTTCTGTCAGCTTTACAGCTTTGGTAACTCAACCTCCCTGTCCCACTCCACTAAGCTGAGATGCTGTCTGTCCAGGAGTCACCTTCTTGCCTATACCCATCTGGGATCTTTCACTGGGGGGACTCTGCAAGGGGAAAAAGGAGTAGGTGTTCTGACAGCACGAGGATCTTCCTCCTCTCCGGTGCCAGTGCAGGCCTGGCACTTAGTAGGTGCTCAGTAAGTTCCTGCTGCATGACTGGGTGGAGAGGACAGTGGGCTTGAGGTATCAGGAGATAATATTGGGGAACCATGTTAATCTACATGCATTCACCCATTCTTGTGACCTACTGAATCAGTTTCATCTGGCTCCGTTTAATGTCAGCAAAGTCTGGAGGGCAGACCTTGGCCCTGGGAGGTCGGCGATAAATGCAGAGCCCTCGTGGCCTGATCACCTTCTGGAGGCCCCACCTCTTGATACTATTGCATTGGGGATTCAGTCTCTCCATGAGTGGTGGAGAGATACAGATGTCAAACCACAGGACCCATCCGGAGCAATGTCTATGCATACAGGCGGGCGTGCGGCCCAGCTGGGCTGACATAGGACATTCATTGTCACTCTTACAGTCCAGGGAGATTAAAGGGACTTGTCCAGACACCAGCAGGGGCGATGTGGAGCTAAGACCAGAGGCCCCTGGAACGTAAACTCTACAGGGGAAGAGCTGCTTGGTCTTGGATCTCCATCAGCTCCCCAGCACCCAACATAGCTCCAGGCTCATAGGGTGCTCTCGGCATACTTTCTGGACAAATGGATTCGTGAATTAAGTCAGGAGTCCCTTACTGCAAGGAAATTCTCACTGGGGATGCTAGGACTAAGACCCCAGCTGAGTCAGATGTGGATCTGCATAGCCTGGACAGAGGACATGGTGACATCCAGTCCCTGGGTGGGATGGACTTCTCAGGGTCCTCCTCAGCAGATTCTACGCTATGAGAAATTCAATGAAAATAAACTTTCTTCTGCTGGGGGTCATCACCCACTAACATGATTCTGTGTTTGGCCGGTAGGAAAGAGAAGGACTTTCCTGTTCCTTCCTGCCTACAGGCCACACTTGCTCTCTGGGGACACACTCTCACATTTGGCATCACTGAGCCATCTGTGGTCCCTGATGGGGACACGAGGTCATGGTCTGCGATGCCACCATGGAACTGAGAAGCAGAGAGGGAGGCTCACTGCCATCTCTGTCCAACCCGGAAGTTAGAATCAGGACTCGAGGGCTCCGATGGTGGCATAGCGATTCAATGCAGTTCTCTGTGAGGCTAACCATGTGGGGAGGTTCCAGGGTCACATCTAGGGACCTCCCTGAAAATACTGGCGTGATCTGGGGCTAGCTGAGCTTGGAATGGATTAGGGCATCAAGACCCTGTTGGGAGTGCTGTCTTTCTCTCTCTTTCGCTCTGAAGAAATAAATAAATAAACTTAAAAAAAAAAAAAAAAACCCTTTGTTAAAAAAACCAAGAGTAGCCGGACTCAGTTCCCACTCTCAATGGGGACGGGCTCTCTGAACCATATTTCGAGGTTCCACTTGACCATTTCTGTGACGCTAAGTTTCCCAGTAGGAGCTTAAATTCATCACCCATGTCACTTGAGGATGAAGAGGTGATCTGTTCCCCACAGCTCTCTCTCTTTCTAGGTAAGTCTGATTCAGCAGGGAAGCAGGGAGCACTGCTCACATGATATTGACCAGCCCAGGCCCACAAAGAGAGGAGTGGAAGGCAGTTTTTACCCAATAAGACCTCCAACCCGGAAGGCCCAGACCATTGCTTTGCAGGTCATATTGTGACAAGGACATGGTACGGGGGGCTGCCTGGGAGGTGGGGCCATTTCAAGTCCTTCCGTGGTGTCAGGGTCCCACCTGATCCCAGTTCTATGACACCATGCTCTGTAGGGCTGGAGAACAACACGCCTTCCCCATCTTGGGGCAACTGCAAATGGTAGTGCTTAGAATAACTACAGAAAGTCAGCAGGGAGAGAAAAGGAATCCTCTGGAGACTGTTTTCTAGAAGGTTTGGAAGCCCTGGCATAAGTGAAGCCCAGAGTTCTAGGAATTAGAAAGTGGATCCAACCTTTAAAACAGGAGCTTCCAATAAGCAGAGAAGAAAAGCGATGCACCAGGGGCCACAGGGCCATGGAGAGTTTATTCCGCGGACAGAAACATGGACTGACGGTGCCGTTAGAAACAACCACCCTGTTCAGCCTTGCCCCTGACCGTGAGCTGACACCCCCTGGTTTGCAAGGATCGTTCTGCAAGTTTGTGCAATGGATGCATTTGGCATCTCCGCTTTCGGAGCCTCTGTGAATGGACATTCTCCCGCGGATCACAGCATTTCACCCCCTTCAGGGAGTCCGCTGGCTTCAGGTGGGCAAAAAGATGCCCCAGGTCGCTGTCTTCCCACCTCTTAGACAGAGCTGCACCTTCTTGGTTGCATTTTTAACCCCCAGAAATGAGCCTGCAAGAGGCCAGAGCCGTTGGTGGTGGGGTGAGGTGGCCTCAGTGGAGGGACAGAGTCCCCAGCCCCCTGGGTGGGCTGGGCCTGGATGAGGGACCTGCCCTCAGTGCAGCTGCAACAACAGAGCTCGACCTCCCAGCTGGGAGCTCTGGCTGCAGGTTTGTTTTTTTTTAAATCAAACTTCAGAAACAAAGATGCCCGCAATTCCCTCTGTGCATAAGAACGTTCCATTTCTGCATCAGGAAGGGCATGATGATGTCATCTGGGTGTTGAAACAGACTAAGTGTTCCCCTGGCCGGAAGCGAGCAAAGCTGACCCCAGCTGCGGTTCCTGGCAGCTTCCTGAAGTTGGCCAGAGAGGAGGACCCCACATGTCGTGTGCAAAGACCATGGAGGATGGTGGAGATAGGAGTTCTCAGCAGGTAAAACATTCTCCTGGTTTCTGGGCAGGCTGGAGGTCTCCCAAGGGGCCAGAGAAGTTTCAGCCCCAAATGACTGGAGGGTTCTCTCAGTGACAAGGGACAGAAGATCTGACTCAGGTGGCTCAGCTCTGAGTGTGCTCGTAGGCTTGTGCACCACGCTTGGTGCTGGGTCTCAGTTCTTCAATGCCTCTACTGGCCTCAGCTGGCTTGCTGTCCTCCATCCCCTGACCTTGGCTAGCCTCCTGTCCCTTATCCACTGGCCTTGGCTGGCCTCCTGTCCCCTGGCCTTGGTTGGTCTCATGTCCAGCTACTGCCACGTGGTGGCTTCACTGCAGGCTCATTCAGAGCCTTGGCAGCTCCAGGTACCCTCGAGGCTCTCCAGGTTCCCCTGTCCTCGGCAGCTCTGGCCTTACTCTCTCAGGTTCAAATCCAGGGCCAAGAACAAAGGTCAGGAAAGCCCTGAGAGTCACTCTGATGGTCAGGTGAGGATCCTGCTGTCACTGAGACCAGGTAGTGCTGGCAGGGCCTGATCTGGCCCCTGAGCCCATCCCCAGGGCCTGGGGCTTGGGGTTGGCTCATCCCAAACACATGAATGGGGGGGAGGTGAATGTTGACGATAGTCAGGTTCTGTCATATAGGGAGGGGAAGTGGATGCTGGACGGTGCCACAAGGGATGTTCCTTCCGGGGAGTAAAACTGTGGCATGACCTAGGCGCATGTGCAAGGAATCCTGAAGGCTTCAGGTGGTCGGTGCAGAAGTTTCAGAGTCTGGATTTAGTCATGAATGTGTCAGCCGACCCAGAGCTCACGCTTGTAGAGGTGGCTGCTGGGTACAGAGGCAGCTATGTTCCGTTCACATCAGAGCATAGATGAGTCTAGGGGCCCAGCTGCTGTGGGACAGTTCATAGGTGCCTGGCCTTCAGGGTCTGCATTTCCCAGCCAGGTCTGTGCTCAGCTCGGAGCTGCAGGAGCCCAAGGGCAGCAGGGTAGCGCTGGTGGTCTGCCTTATTCTAGATGGACAGCTCCGGGGTAGGAAGGCCAGGGCAGGTGTAGGCCACGCGAGGTCCCGCAGGGCCTCTTTCTGTCTTTCTGCTGCCATCCTCAGCTGGAGCCTCTGCTCTTGTGACCTATGGGGGCTGAGGCCACTGTTTCTGGAAAGGCTGAGGAGGTGGCCAGGAAGAAGGTCTTAAATAGGAAACCAGACCGCCCCAGAATCCCAGCAGCCTACCCCATCAGCTAGAACTGTGTCACATGGCATCAGTGACTCCCTAAAAGGGTTAGAGAGCTCGGGACCATTTGGTCCTGTTAGTAAGTCAGGAGAGTGCATGGGGCAGGGGAGACAGCTGGCGCTGTCACCGCCTGGTTAACGGGCCGAGGAGCTGTGTGGACGTGCAGCTGTTTTCAGAGGGCCACGATCACAGCTTCCCAGACACGGATCCCTGCTTTCCAGTAACGAGGGCAACAAACCACGGGACTCTGCCTCAGCCATCCCACCTGGCCTCCGAGCTACTCCAAGTAGCCATGGTGGGGCTCACATTCTGCAGAAATCCCCTAACCTCCACCCGGTTGGTGCAGACCCCGCTCTCTGCAGCTCCTGAACGGTGGCTCTTCTGTTTTCTCCAGGATCCCTCTCCCCTGCTGATCACCCCAGCTCCTGGCCATGTCATTCTGCAAGGCCTTAGCTGTCCTCTGCAGACAAGCCAAGGTATTAAAAACCTCCTCGCTGGCCAGGACACCTGGCAGTGTCCACCAACAGCTCCAGTCTGGACGCGGTCCCAGAGATAAATCCTCTCTCTTTAAAAAGCCACGGTGGCCCATTATTCTGCTTGGAAACACCTCTGAATCTTTGCTTAGAGCCTGGGTGACAGGCCCCGGCTGTTGTGCTCAGCCCTGCATAAAATCACGTCAGCTAGTGACATCCGTAATGAGTAAGTGGGCAGCTTCAGACAAAGTGTACATCAAGTCCCTTGCCCTGCACCCAGGACTGGGTTGGAAGGTTCGAGAGCCATGTCTACAGAAGCAGCGGCTCATGCCCATTTGTGATGCTCCGTCCATGGGGTTCAAACAGGGATGAGTCAGAATGACAGAATGGCGATTCCTGGAGGATATTGCATTGTGCAATATCCCACAGAACTTCGCCAAGTAAAGAGCAACCTTGAAAAACAAGCCGAGCCCATTAAACTATCACCACGGATATTTCACCAGAAGAATACAGAGAACCCCTGCACCCACCACCCACATTCAGCAGTGGCCAGGACTGGCCCCGTCCTCTCCTCTGCTAAAGTATGTGAAGCAGATGCCACACTCCTGTGGAGATTTTCTAGCATCTCTGCAGCACCCTGACCTCCTCTGACCCAAGTTTAAAAACTCCCTGTGGTATGGGACCAGCAGTTAGCTTAATGGCTATGTCGCTGGACTCCATGCAGTTGACCACAGTTAGAGTCCTGGATTTGGTGGCTTAAACTCACTCCGGGCTTGTGTGTGTGCATGCCCAAGATCCCAAGAGGAGAACGGAGGAGAAGGGATTGCAGTGTAGCCATCCTC